AAAGCTTTGGCTATTCGTAAATTTAACCCCTTTTTATGTGTACAAAAACAATTTGTCGTAACCTTGAATTTACTTTGGTAATCCTTAAGTCATTCTATGGCCTAGGATAACGTGATAATTTCTTATTCTTTCTATACGATATAAAATTGTTTCTCTCCCCTTTGTCACCTTTTTACTTGAACTTTCATTTAATTGACCTTTATTAATTTTCATATAAAAATGCCCTGACAAGTATATGTGTGACCAGTTTGTTCGAAATTATGGCCCAAATACATCACATTATTCAAATCAACTCCGTCTTGTCATGATGTTATCGAAATTTAATTTTTACTGTATATCAATAGTTGAAATCATGAGTCGATTGAAGCTAGACCACCATGGAAAACCTGCAAGTACTGAAGGCCGTTTCGACCTAGTGTGGGACTCCTCAGCAGTGAGCATCCACGATCCCGCCCCTCGCAAGATTTGAACTTAAAATCTATCGCTTTTGCGCGCGGGAGCTTAACCATTAGACCATTGAGCCGGTATCTAACGGTGTTAATGTTTAGCTTCAACCAATCCACTGTATATAAAAGAAAAATAATGATAAGAAAAGAAAATCACACATCACATTTCCCCAAAATAATTAACATAGAAACATTGATTATTATCATCCATTCTGCTACTACCGTAATCCCATTAAAATACGTCAATAATATTTCAAATCTCTTTGGTCTTTGCTTTACTTTAGTATAAACAAAAATAAATAACTAATGTTGATGAGATTAATAATCAGACATGTATATTTCCTCTTTCCCTGACCATGATGCATTATATATAGATACATGTACATTGTTTTGTCTGTCATATAGTACACAGTGTATTATATTGTCAGTAAAGTAAACAGACAATAAAGCTGGAGGTGTTAGTCAGTTGGTTATTAATTCATGAATAATCGACAAGAAAATGATTCATCAAGTAAGCTTGCAAAATATATTACTGTTCGGTAAACATTTTGACATAACATTTGTAAGATGTAAATTAACATTATATAAGGAATACATACCTTCATGTGCTTGTATGTGTATTTAACCAGCTATCTCAGTTGACAGATAATTGAGAAATTATTTCATTTCAGTTAGAGTTTCATTGTTTGTATAATGTTAACATAGAATATAACTTCAACTTGTTGAAAACCATAAATATAGATAGACAAATAATGCTTCTGTAGAATGTGCTGTCATTATGAATATAACATATATAGAAACTTTAATAGTTGAAATCATAAATCAATTAAAGCTAGGCCACCATAGAAAATCTGGAAGCACTGGATGACCGTTTTTTCCTATTGTGGGACTTACGAGCAGTGAGCATCCACTGTCCTGTCTTGTGAGATTCGAACCCGGGTCTGTTGGGATATAGTGACTCACTGAAGATAATGGCGGATGTGTCACTCAATTTCGTGGGTTAGCTGAAGTTAAACATTAATACCGTTGAATACCAGCTCGGTGGTCTAGAGGTTAAACGTTCGCGCGAGAGACCGATAGATCCTGTGTTCGAGTCACGCAGGGGGCAGCATCTTCGATGCTCACTGCTGAGGAGTCCCATACCAGTATGAAACGGCCTTCCAGTGCTTGCAGGTTTACTATGGTGGTTTAGCTTCAATTGACTCATGATTTCAACTATTAAAAAAGTTACTATAATATCCACAAAACCCCTTCTGATACAGATATAGAAACGTAAAATACAATACAAGGAATTTACTAGCTATTATAAAAAAAATCTTAAGAACAAGATGTTTTTTTTTAAGATTATAAGCTACTAACGATGTCTGTTACCAGCTGGTGAATTACATATGAATAGAAGTATGCAGAGTTTTAGAAAGTAAGCGTATGTTCGTTACTTTAGCTTTGAACGGAAAAAGATTTAGTTTTTTATTATTATTGTTATGTGGTCGATATAAGTTGTCCAGTTAGTGGAAGTTGAGATAAATATTCAAAATGTAACCTACACAATAAATATCATTAAAGATATAAAGAATTGGAAATCGATTTAATTTCATTGTTTATAACATAATAAAAGTGAATAAACCAGAAGAATGTTGAAAGGAGCATTGTAGTAGGTAGCCACCTACTACAATAAGATCGAAGGGATTTCTATACAGTAATGAAAACGGATTTATAGTAATGATAAACGAATTGTCAATAAATACGATCGTTACCCCCTGAACAATGTACCATATTGAATCAGCAAATATCAAAAGATGAAACCTAGCTTCCTACTTATTGATTTATGTCTGTTACCCCTTGTGAACGAGCATAGGTCACTCACAAGAATTTCCCATCCAACTCTGTCCTCCACTCTCCTTTACAGTTGCTATTCATTCTTTTCATGTCCACTTCCAGTTCTCGATGGAATGTGTTCCTTAGTCTTCCACTTTTCCGTTTCTATTCACGATTCCAAGTTAGTGTTTGCTTCGTGATACAGTTTGATGATTTTCGAAATATGTGTCCCATCCACTTCCAGCATCTTTTCCTGATTCCCTCTTCAGATGACAGCTGGTCTTTCCTCTCGCATAGTAGGTCGTTGCTGACGGTATGCGGTCAATGGACATTGAATATCTTGTGTAGACATTTATTTATAAATATTTGTACATTTTCGATGATGGTTGTAGTAGTTCTCCAAATTTCAGCTCTATATAGTAGAACTATCTTGACGTTCGTATTGAAGATTATGACTTTGGCGCTGACTTGAAGACAGTTGTTTTGAGTTCCATATATGTTGTTTAACTGTAGGAATGCTTCCATTATATTACCAATCCTTGCCTTTATGTCTGTATCGGATCCTCATTGTTCATCGATGATAAAACCTAGCTTGTTGATGTGAACAGAGAAACAAAAAGCCTTGACAAACTACGAAAGCTATTTTTCGAGACGTTATTTCAGTTAATTCAAAGCTTTTAAAAAATTAACATTCATTTTTGTCTCTAGTCTATTCAACAGATCATAAGTTTTCGTTTAATATATGGTTCACTACCATAGCCCTTTTTGTTTCAAAGCTATTGTAATTTAAACATAATATTTTGTACTCTATTTTCTACTCTAATTCCCAGCTCTGGACATAATTGTATTTTCCTAATTATTGTACGTTGTGGTCGGGATAGTCATCTATTTATTCATGTATCTTTTACACTGATCTGAAATCGGGAAATCGCAATTGAGAGTAAATCGATTAGTGTTCCAGTTGAATTGTCTCCTCTCACTCGCGTGCTTGTCAGCCAGTGATAGAATAGTTTTCTTCTCTTTACTCCACTTTTAACTCACGCGTACTAGCCTCAAGGTTAGGCCGGTGAGCCTATTGCGTGAAGGTCTTAATCTGGATTAGACAAGTTATCCTCAGCACCAAAAGTAGGTAGACAGATCAAGGATGTAACACTTCTAGATGCAATAAATTAATATTTCGGAAAATTATTACACTTTCGAGTAACTTAAAGTTACTTTGACAAAGTAATCAAATAATATTTTTGTGAATCTCTCAACACTCGAATAGATTGTCTAATGATAGTGCTTCAACTAAGGATCAGTATTATATAAAAATGTAGCGTAACAAAATCTCGAACTCACTGACTAATGGCCTATGATGTTGATTCGTAATTCAGCCAATAAGATAGTAACAATAAAGTACAGTGTGAAACTCGAAAACATTGAATAATTCTTGTTAAATTTTTTTTCTGACTTTATATTGCCAGTTCAGGAATTTCAGATCTCAATGCAAGAATAACATACTTTGTCAATCAGTTCAAATTCAGTGATCCATACTTTTTATTTTTATCAATTTACTAACGATGATTAACTTTTTCGATGACTGATAAGGGATTCTTGTCAGATATAATTAAACTCCATCAATAACAATTTCCCTTCAGAATATAAAAACGCTATCTAAGAGTTGTTAATAAGTATAGAAATAATAATAGCCTTATTTTATTTTACCTTTTAATGTCTTAGCAACTGCTAATAGTTCATCAATATGTTAAGTTGATGACAAAAACTGTTTCTAATATCAACTAACCTTCAAAATTTACTCAATTAGATGATAATTGACATCATTAAATAATTGGTAATACTCCCCAAGGTTCATATCTATATGACCATATCATTGTAAATCACCAGCCTAGATGATCTATGTCGAAATGATTAGAGGCCTACCCGAGTTAGACGGGAATGGTGTGACGAACAAGCTAACGTCGAAGACATACTTTGCGCTCAGCATCTTACGTGGATTACCCTATTGATGTATCAAGTTACTATAGATGCTTTGAAGACTGTACAACGCAAAGGATATTATTACAGAAATATATATTAGTTAAAGTCGATACAAGCGAAGGTAAAGATCACTGCCGCATGGGCCAGTCGATGGCGTACGATTAACTGATGAGCGTTGGTCGTCCTTGACCTTGACGAGGATCGATGATTTGTTCGATATACAATGACCCAACTGCAGGATAATTCGGCTAGGGATCAGTTGAATTTCACTGGCCCTATATCATTATCTAATAATATTACTGTATGCTATTATTTTATGATTCTTATTAACAAAAATATTGTATTGAAAGCAATAAAATTTCAATATATTCAATCCACTATTTCAACTAGGTTTAGTCTTTTTTGTTTTTTGAACCTTATCAGATCCCAGATTGCAAAATAGATTTAAGAAATTTAACACTACACTCATTTTTGTGCACTTCATAAAACTGATCTATTTTTCAGTATTTACATGGATTAGGGTTACTATGGTACATGTCCACAGTATATACATTTAATATACTTTAGGAAACTTTATAGAGTATAAGGTATGCTCCAGTTTTTAATTAGACAAGACTCTAACAAAGTATCATAAAAGTTAAGATTAGTTATCATTGTTAGAAATTGAAAGGCCTATAATATGAACATATCTCTTATTTCATATCTCTAGTGTTCTATCAATAAAATAATCTGTGAACGATTTTCTTTCTTTTTATATAGATATATACATCAGGCAGTCGCCCTGGACCAGTGACAATCCCTGCTCGAAGCAGAAGTGCACAGCCTAGTCCAGGTCCAAGTCCAACCATCAGTCCTGTAACATGTTTTCGAGCTTCTGAAAATAATTTGATACCAGGTTATGGAGGAGAGAAAAATTCATATACAGCAACATCACAAAAAATTAATTTAAATGTTACAAATGTACAACGACGTGGTTCTTCACCTTCTAGAGTTGAACATAACAATGTAAATTCATTTTCTTCTGATGCACCAGAGGTAACCTCATATTAAAAAAACGTTAAAATTTTTTGTAAAGGTTACTGTAGTTTTTCAACTTTTTTTCTAAAATTTATGATAATCAGAATGATAATGAACAGTCATTTACGTAATACCAATTGGATTCAGTAATTGATACAACTAGACAGAACTATAAGGTTGCCATGGTTTCCAGCGTTTAGTTATTTAGTTACTTATCAATAACATATTTAAAATCCAATGGTTAAAAATACCAAATATATATATATATACTACACTTTCGTTCACCGTTGGTAGAGTGACAAATCTTCAGTATATCCAATAATTTAGTTTCATGGCTAATTATCCTTTCAGTTATGCGATCATTTATCCCGTAGAGAAGTATTACACACTTTTTTTCACATTTCTATTTTAACGTTTATGCAGAAAATGAAAATACAGTTCAGTACCTATCGGCTTAATTTTAAACCTTTATAACGAAATTAGAAAACCAGGTAATATCTCGATAGTGTAATAAAAAGACAAAAATTATCAGAACTATGTTATATATTATCAGAAAGGGGTTTTGCGGAGATTGTAGTAATTTCAACAGTTGAGATCATGAGTCATCTGAAGATAGACCACCACGGGAAGCCTGGAAGCACTGGACGGCCGTTTCGTCCCATTGTGGGACTCCTCAGCAGTGAGCATCCACGATCCCGCCTCGCGGGATTCGAACCCAGGATTTATCAGTCTCGTGCCAGGGGCTTAACCAAGTAGACCACTGAGCTGGCATCCAACGGTGTTAATGTCTAACTTCAACTAATCCATGAAATTGAGCGACACACCCACCATTGTTCAGTGCTTCCAGGTTTTCCATGGTGGTCCAGCTTCAATTGACCCATGATCTCAAATGTTGAAATATTTTATACATATTAGCACAATATATTTCGAACAATCTGATCACACATTATGTACTTGTTATGAACATTTACATATAAAAATAAAAAGGTCGACTAGACTAGAAATGGAGGGTAAGAGGAGACAAGGATAATAAAGAAAATAATGTGAAAACAATTTGAAACTTCATCACTTTGGATAATAAGCTAATATTACCAGGATAGATTCAAGGTAAAAATAAAATGTCTTTGAATACATTAAGGGGGTTTGAATTTTCGTATGGCTGAGGCTTCAGCAAACCTTAGTATACGCCCTTTTACACTTTCGTACAACACCACAAAAGCTGACTTCAAATCAATCTTATGACCTGTTTCAATTATGTGTTTGGCAATAGATGATATATGTTTATCCTCTACTCTTATTGGGTCATTCGATTCTATTTGTTTCTGCAACCAATTACGTACATGTTCACATACCCCAATTCTGAGATCACGATTACTACTCCCTATGCATGTTACCACACACTAAAATTAATAAGCACAGTGGAATATGACGCGATCATTTTTTCTGTCTTTTAAGTTTTCAATGGAGCTTGAACCTTGATGTTTCCGTGATAATAACATTTGTTGCATAATATGTCTTGCTAATAACTGATTTAAGCCTTTATTTCAATAAAATGCTATTTGAATCACCTTTAAATGGTCAGGTAATGTAGACAGACATTTTTTCCGTCAAGGCTATAGTAGGTCTCACTGTACCATGAACTTTACATCTATTTGTGAATTTAAGGAGATAGCTGTTTTCCAATAATGTTATATTTAGCAACCTAACATCATCAATGGCATCATTTTTCCAAATAAGATAATCTGATAATCTTCGTCATCATATTACACTATCGAAATTTATCAAAGGGACTAATTGCTTCAAATAATATCTGTTTAATACTATCAAATAAATCACAATACGTGGAAAGTTTCCTACTACACTTCTAGTTCTTTCCGAACATTAAAACGAACTAACTATTTTAGATTTCTTCAAGTCAAATTTTTGTATCAAAAGCCTATAGCCTCAGTCAATACCTATTGGTCACGATATTATTCATTAGTATTCAATCTTATAATGTTAGATTCCTTGTTAGAGGACTCATTTAACCTTTATTTTAGATTAGATGTAATACAAAATTTTGGATCGTTAAATACAACTAAGGTCCTATTTACTGAACTTTCATTATCTAGTCAATGAGACTGAAATAAAGAAATGAATTCTATCAATATTTATCTAACTTTGCCTAAAGAGATTTACTTGTTGTTACTGATAATCGAACTAATCATGAGGATTTAAATATACTTCAACACTTTTCTGAATCTCAGTTTTAAGCAGTATTTGAAGTTCTGTTACAAATGTTGTATATTCGTCTTTTATTTTATCATATGAGGATTTAGATGTATTGATTAGTGGTGAGACCATAATTTATGGACGAACCTATCAGATATGATATAACAGGTCTTGGATTTTGTCATTGAAATTCCTTGATCCATTTGGCTAAATAGTGTTTCGGCATTTTAGCCTATGTCAGTTCGTGATGAAAGCTCTAAGTCTAATTCCTAACGCTAACCCCCAAGTGTAAATTATAATTCTAATTCGTTACACTGGCTTATAAGCTTCATATAGTCCTAGTTAGTAGGTGGACATTCTCAGGGTTACTTTAGCCTTACTCAAAGGGCATCCACAAATTACAGTATCGCCTGATTAGTTTATACTGGAAATAAGTCTTCAGACTGATATTTTTTGTGATAAAATTACTTCCCTTACACCTTAAACTCAATGATTTTAGAAACCTAAATTAGAAATGAAACCTAACTACTCGATAGCTTAGTTAGTTTTTTGTCAAATACTCGTTGTTGTTTTAAACAGAGCAAAAATGACAGGTATTTACATCGAATACATATCAGTAGTATATTTAAAACTTTTAATTTCATTATAAAAATAAAGGAAGACAATGAAGCTCACATTTTACCGTCAGTTAGAGAAATTATACGTCAAGTTGAAGCTATGACACAATCAAATGCTGCCACATCAACTACAGATATATTTACTCTTGGTCTTAATAATGGAACAACAGGGAATCATTCCATTCAAAAAGAAAATAATCAACAATCACAATTATCAAAACAACGTAAAGTAAATTCAACTAATGATAATCAATTTGCACGAACTGGTATACTTAGACAATGTGGTAGTAGTCAACGAACACCAAGTGCACCACAGCTTAGAACAGCTAATTATGGTAATTCACAAAAGTATACACCTATTCAAGCAAAATTCAATGCAGCTGTCGCTTCAAATTCACAAAATACTACAGCACCTCCTGTTCCACCTCATGGAATTGCACGTAATAAAGTAAGTTAAATGATATTGACATTACTTAACTCTAAGTTACTATATATATTTTGTTATTTACTAAAACTGGTTCAATTATGTGACAATAGTTGTTTAGTATATTTAGAAATTTACAACTGTATAGTTCAGTTGTGATCGTGTTTTCTTTTTCTTTTTCTAATGTATCCATAAATCATAATATCATGGAACTAAAATAGTTTAAAGGTAGCCATTATGTTATTATTCTTGTGATATCCTGATGGAAACATTAAGCAAAAAGAAAAAGACATTTCCTTGTTATGTTATATATACACAATTGGTTAGTCTGAAAATAAGAATATATATATAGTCCTAGAAACATGTGGGACTAATAATCGATTACAGTAATTAGTAAGAGAATTGTTTAGCTTCGTAAATCTATGCATTATCCACTTAAAGTTACAAATCATGTATTTTTTTGATGTTGTTGTAGTGAAAACAGTAAATAACAGTAGAATGTTATGTACGTTGTACATAATTTGTGAAATACACACTAACATTGTATGTACATTTTAATCTCATAAGATAAATTGGGGACAATAATTATATGACTTAATGTTTGTATGTTAATAATCGTATAAGAAGGATCAGTTGATTGATTTAAATAAATTTATAGTAGAAATTACAAGAGAAAAAAATCCACAGTTATTGACATGTGCTAAACTATGATCCTGAATAAATAAATAAATAAATAATATGGGGCTACTCAGCAGCGAGTACCCATGACCACGCACCGCGCGGGATTCGAACCCAGGACCTACCGGTCTCGCACCAGGCGCCAAACCAACTAGATCACTGAGCCGGAATCCAACGGTGTTAATGTCAAACTTCAACCAACTCCATACTAGAACGAAACGGCCGTCCAGTACTTTCAGGTTTTCCATGGTGTTCTAGCTTCAATTGACTCATGATTTCAACCAGTGAAATTTCTAGAACTTTCGACAAAACCCATTCTGATAATAATCAACTGCTCACTAGTGACTGTCTTCAGGAAAAGCTCCTGGAGTTCTAGTGAGAAGCCGTGACCAGTGGAGTTCAACCAGGTCTCTTGTGAGGCATCAACTCACTGGAGAAAATGGTATACGGTTGCGCAACTTCGTGGGTTAGTTGAAGTTAAAAATTATTACCGTTGGATGCCAACTCGGTGGTCTAGAGGCCAAGCGTTCGCGCGAGACTGATATGTCCTGTGTTCGAATTTCGCCGGGGGGCGGGACCCTGGATGCTCACTGCTGAGGAGTCCCATAATAGAACGAAATGGTCATCCAGTGCTTGCAAGTTTTCCATGGTGGTCTAGCTTCAATTGACTCATGATTTCAACCAGTGAAATTTCTAAAATCTCCATAAAACCCCTTCTGAAAACAAATAACAATACATCCTGAGTTCGAATCTCATGGAACGGGATCATGGATACTCACTGCTGAGGAGTCCTACACTGGGACGAAACCGTCGTTCAGTGCTTTCAGGTTTTCCATGATGACCTAGCTTCAATGAACTCATGAATTCAACTATTAAAAAAATTACTATAATATCCATATATGGAAAATTTGTGATGAAATTTTCTGTAGGGATTGTAGATTATACTTAAAATACTTTTGCTATGATAATTTAACAAGGAGCGTCGTCATGATAGCATTATTACTTCAAAAGAAATACTTAATATTTGATTGGTTTTTGGAGTAAGTCGACAAGAAACCTTGAACCTAGATTTCGTAACATTTGACACTCATCATCAAGATATACTTGTATTTTCGAGGGAACTGGGACTCTATGGTGGATTCGATTCTATGTCATCCAGATATATTCATCCATCACCTTATGTCTCAAGATTGTGCACACGATGGTGAGTCACCTAAACTAGTAGTCAAATTGCAACTCAGTGATCAATCAACTATAAATAATTTTAAGAGGTATTAGTGGATTAATTTAGGTCATCCAAAAGAGAACACTTGTGTGTATTTTAAGTTACATCGACATTGGAAACCTAGAAGCACTGGATAGCCCTTTCGTTCTAGTACGGGACTCTTCAGAAGTACGCATCTGTGAGTCCTCACACGGGGGTCGAACTCAGGACCTCCCGTTTCATGCGCCAACGCGTACCCTCTATATCACTGACCCGGGATATGGTATGAAAGCTTTGCTTCATCACAGCGCTGCATTTACTCAAGAAGCAGACTGCTGAATATAATTCATCATTTTATAAGCTCTAATATATGCAATACATTTATTATTAGACACTTCTTTCAGTGTAAATGTCTCACTTTAGTGTTGTTCAAACTGTTGATAGCTTCATATATTTTATTAAAGTGATACTGTAAGGGTGATGTGAAAGGTTTAAGAACAAAATCCGCTTCTAAACACTTCACTTTCTGTGTACCAAGTAAGCTTAAAGATTATTCACAGTGCCTTCTTGGTAACAGCTTCATATAAGTTCAGTGGTTTTTGTCATTTGTCCAATCGGGAAGCTACACGTCAAGATTTTGGAATGTTCTTCCGAAAAGATATCTGGATGTTATGTCTTCGGCTCTTTCTGAGCTTCTTAGAGCTTCCTACAGTTCACCCGGAGTCGTCTTTACAAATTGTAATCCTATTAGGAAGCTTTTGGACAACACACAATATTTAATTTATTTCACGGTAGTATATCAATACATTTAAGTAGTCTAAAACAGATTTCAGTAACATTTTTTAGCTAATAGTCAAGAGTTAACAAAATTTCAAAGAGATTCGAAGTCTAAGAGATTTATTTTAACTTCTATTCATAACATTTATTCTGTGTACCCTGTAAGAAAATTTATTAAACCTGAAGAAAACAATTGACTAGCACTTTGCAATTTTCAAGAATTATTTAATTGCATTCATCTCAATTCTAAAGTTGTAGATTGAGATCATGAAATGATTGATGTTAGACCACCATTGAAAACCTGGAAGCACTGGACAGTCGTTTCGTCCTATTGTGGGACTCCTCAGCAGTGCAAGCAGGATCGTGGACGCGCACTGCTGAGGAGTCCCACAATAGGACGAAATGACCGTCCAGTGCTTCCAGGTTTTCAATAGTGGTCTAATATCAATCAGTTCACGATCTCAATCAAAAATGAAATTCCTTTTTCTCCTTTATCAGCTGTTATTACTTTTTGTTTATCATGAAAAATAAATAAACATCAACTGTTATTTACTTTTGTTTAACACATAAAATATTCAACTTCTAAATGTATATTTTAATGTTTGTTGATGAGAGTAATTTTGGTCAAATGGAATGATTTTCAATAAACAATAAAATGCAATACAAATTTGTTATTTCATTTTTAAGAAAGCTTTTTAGTAAACACTCCATTAAAGCAGATATTATATATGAATTAACTAAAGTAATAGGCATACATTTTACTATTCAGTGTTTGTGTATTACTACCTATAATGAACCAAATATGTTAGTATTGTAGTGGTATTTGTTCTAATCATACAATCCTTGAAACTGAATATGAGATAACTGAGGAAATTCATATTTAACATATAACATGGAAAGAAGGTCAGCAATAGTGAACACGGCAATAATCGATCGGTATGGCGGAGTTCGGCCATACAGGCATGATCGCCCCATGTAATCTTTTATTTTTATGCTGAATATATTATTCTCTGCCTAGAACAAAATATGTTCTTCAGAAGTATTAGACGCTTTATTTCTGATTATCATGATAGGAAAAGTCAGTGTAGACTATGATGTGACTTCCACGTAAGATCTTATAGATTAGGTAGTCACGTTGTGACATATCTACAATTTTGGGATTAAACTTATTATCATAGTAGCAAAGATAAATGTATTACTAAAGAAGTAGACCATAATTCTGCAGTATAACGTGTAATGATATAGACTATTCAAAATATGAACAGTGAAGGCGAGTGAATATTTTTTCACTATTCTATATCCAAATGGAGTATGTGTAATATTGTTATCATAGAGCAATTAAGACATACGTTTAGATAAAAAGAATTCAGACTAAATCTGAGTAGTTTGCACCGATCGAAATATGTGCGTATTGCTGAGGAGTTCCACAATAGGATGAAACGCCTTTCCATTGATTCCAGGTTGTCCATGGTAGTCTAGCTTCAATTGACTAATGATCTCAACTATTAAAATTGCAATATGTGTTTGTTTTGTTGAAAATGATAAAACGTTTCAGTATCATTAACAAATAATGCGGCATCATGTTTGATTTTCAATACTAAATCAAATTATTTGTTAATACGGATATGTAGTGATTAAAATTGCATACGTTAATTGACATATATTAATAGTAATTAATGTGATTGTCTTGTTACTTAGGGATTCGTATACTCGATCTTGTATCCCATCGTGTGAGAGCTAATTATAAACTACTCAGTCTCTTAAAATCGAACTAAGTGAATAATAATTCACATCTTTTGCCTAGTGGATGAAAGTCTTTCCCAGATGAGTATTAAGAAGTTTGTCTCGGTTCATAAATCTACACCAATAAATACTGTTAACTTTTAAACCTTCATGTCTAATAATGATTTAATTATCTAACGACTAAGTAATAATCTCATGACTATTTATCAGTGACTTTGAAAGAATTACCGAATTTCAACTTATGTCTGTGTCTAGTAGAGTTTAATGACTTCAAAGGTGATATAATTTCAAAGATGCAGTTAATTGAGAGTCTTGACATTTCATGATCTAATACTAGGTAAAGCAAGTTATCAGTGTATACTAAATTTCAATGGGTTTCCCGCGGAATGTGTTGTTTCTTATCTGTACCTGACTGATTTATTCAATTAATATAGACATTACTTGGACTGGAATTGTGAAAAATCCTATTTCTATACTTTTCTCAGTTTTATCTTCTAGAATATTCATACACTCGACCTATGAATAGATGACCAGTCTAATTCTTTGGCATGTATTACATTATTATTCTACATTTGAATGTTTAACCCTACTTTTTCCTGAATAAAGTCCTGAGGTGAACATCAATTCTGAGATGCAGATACATCCAGTTGATGAGTCCCAAACAGGATAAAACGCGTGTCCTGGATTTCGTTGCTAGCCATCATCTATCTTTAAGCAAAAATGGATAGTGGCTAGCAGTGAAATCCAGGATTCGCGTTTCATCGTATTTGGGACTCGTCAAGTGGATGTACTTGCATCTCAGAATTGATGTTCACTCTAGAACTCGAATCCATTACCGTTCACCTCAAATGCCATCGCGTTATTCACTTAACCACTGAGTCCTGATAATCACTTACTTGTGCAAGTGGCAATATCGAGGCAATACACACAGTATACACATATGTCAATAAGTGACTGACCGATGGTAGTCCTAAATAACAATGGGAAAATCCAAACAAACAATGCAAAAAATGAATTATGTATACTTATACTTCATTTTTAATGACTGAAAGAATATAAACAATTAAATCCACTAAACAATTGAATTCCTATTATTCTACCACGTTGATTGTTCCTAGTTTATTCACATTTCTAAATAGAAAAAAATGGCATAGGAATTTGTTCTGTTTAATGGAGAAAAATGGATATGCACAAATCTATCCCATTCACAATTTTTTTTATATATTTACTTGTAAACGATACACACAATGTAATAGATTGCCTCAATGTAATACAATTCCTTATACAAAATATAATTATCTATTAGATTATATACATCTATCATGGATAACTTCTAGTATTAAGTACATGATCAGTCTTCTCGATAACAGATGAGGAGTTCCACAATACCAAGAAACGGCCGTCCATTACTTCCAGGTTATCCATAGTTATCGAGCTTCAATTAACTTATGATCTCAAATACTGAAATCACTACGATTTCAACAAAACTCCTTCTGAAACAAATGAATCGTTAATTATGATTTCTATTAATCCTATGAATATCGATTATTGTCATTATATAATTGAATAATTCAATAAATTCCGCACCCCGCGAGATTCAAACTCAGGATCTATTAGTCTCGCTCCAGCACAGTGGTCTAGTTGGTTAAGCGCCTGGCGCGAGACTGACAGGTCCTGGGTTCGAATCTCGCGAGATGTGGGATCGTGGGTGCGCGCTGCTGAGGAGTCCCATCCTAGGACGGAACGGCCGTCTAGTGCTTCCAGGTTTTCTATGGTGATCTAGCTTCAATTAACTCATAATTTCAATCAGTGAAAATCAAATAAATTTTAATGATTAATATAATAGAATTTTTGTAATGAACTAATAATTTATTTTGTTTTAATAATTTTCCTTTGATATTTTAAGCCAATTATTGGATCATTTACCAGAAGAATTGAACCATTAACTAATGATTCAAATAAACAAACAGATTTTACAAATGTAAGTTAAATTTTTAAACATAAATATAAGGTATAAACAAATTACATTTTTGTTTAGTTACTTAGTCAGTCAATCGGTCAGCTATAAAGTAAGACCGGGCATATATGTGCATCGGTCCAAGTTGCTATACCTCATTAGTACAACAAGATGAATAACGAATTCATAGAAGTAGTTAATTCAGTGGTGGTAATATATTAAAGAAAGATTGCATATAATGACATAGTATGGAAAAAAAAGAACTAGTTCATAGAAAGAATGATATAAAGCGATGTTAATCTCATAGTTTAAGGGAAGACAAAGAGTGTATACACCTACGCCATCGTGATCGATTCCGAGCAATGTTACCAAGAGTCTCCAACCGTTGGTCACGATAGTCACGAGAACCCCAACAAAGTAATCTGCATCTATCAACATGGCTCAGTCTAGAAGATAGTGACTTCAATCACTGATGCCATGTTTTGGTTTGGCCGTACCTAACTTTCTTCCAACCATCTCCAAAACTAGTCAGCATTGTGCATAGTGGTAATCGGTGAGCCAACCATCTCAGTCGATGAACATTTACAACCCCATCAACTGATTTACCATCATTCCTTAATACCCTGCATCTAACCTTCCTTACTAGGTGATCCCAGCAGATGCGAACAATATTTCTAAGACATTTGCGGTCAAATACTAGTAGCTTACGAATATCTTCTGCTCTTAATAGCCACGTCTCGCAACCGTAAATAAGAACAGAAGCGGCTGACGCACAGTATACTCGTCCCTTAATTGATAGATATCCTTCTGTTAGGCAATTAAAATAAACTGATTTTAAATCTATTGAACAAATTATGATTTATTTTTCTTCTTCATGATACCAACAATGAATTAGTACAAATACGTGATTTCTTTTATTTCCTTCCGAAAGAAGATGTTTTCTAATTATAGTTACTGATATGATAATCAATTTGTAACAGCTGCTAATGCTAATGGACAGTTAATTGAAAATTGAAATAAAACTAACTAATATTTAACTGAATGGAGGGTTTGCGGAGATTGTAGTAATTTTAACAGTTGAATTCATTATTCAGTCTAAGCTAAACCAACAGAGAAAATCTGGAAACACTGAACGTCCGTTTCGTTCTAGTATAATAGTCTTCATCATACGCACCCACGATCCCTCACGCTGAACTCGAACAAAGGACCTTCAGTCTCGTGCGCAAACGCTTATTCTCTAGCTGATATACAGCTTAGATCGACCAGTGAATTCATCCATGAAAATACTACGAACTCTACAAATCCTCCATACTGATAACAATCATGTGCTCACTAGTGACTAGCTTCGAGATGGACTTCATGGAGTTCTAGTGGGATGTCGTGACCAGTGGAACCCAATCTGTGTCAGGTTAAGACATTTATCAACCTCAAACAATAGACGAAGTGTTGCGGAAGATTGTGGATCGATTAAAGTTAGACATTAACAGCGTTAGGTCACAGCTCAGTGGTCTAGAGGTTAAGCGTTTGCTAGGAAGTTACTAGTTTAGAGTTCCGTGTTCGGGATCGTGGATGCACACCACTGTGAAGTCCCATACTAGAACGAAACGGTCATCCAGTGCTTGTAGGCTTTTGATGGTGGTCTAGCTTATATCGACTCATGAATTCAACCATTGAAAAATTGTATTTCTATTATTATCAAATGCCTTATTTAAATCAACTAGTTCTTTTTTATGAACTACTAACTGAAAAATCGAACTTTATAAATCATAGTAAAAGTCAATAATCTAAAGTCATTTCGAACAAGTGCACATAAGTAAACAACATTTAGTAAAATGAAATTTAAGGTAATTTTCTACACCATTCATCTCATAATATGCATTCCTAACACAAACATATGTTTGACTTACAATATTCTTTGCAAAGTTTGTATAATGGGACCGATTTTAGTTAGACAATTTCTAAGAACCAGTAAACACTAGGCAGATTTTTCGTACTATTATGAAACTCCTCTTCAGTACGCATCCGGGTTCCCAACGAAGATCCAGATCCAGAAGTTCTAGTTTAGTTCATCAATATCGAATATGAGTAATATTGAGAACTTATTGAAGTTAGTTATACTCACCACTGAATACCGTCTTATTAGTTTACAGTTCAACCATTTGTTCTCGATATCAAAAGTGTTACGTTCAATCCTCTGTGGTAGAATAGTGGATGTTTATTAATAAGACATCTTTCACTTGGATAACATTTCAATGCCTCCTGATTGTCAATGATTATCTTATTCAGATAAGTTCATGAAGTAGACTATAAAAATTCAACAAATTATGTTAGTATCCAATTGCTAATTATAATGCTCTCCCCTTATTCATTTCTTCACGAAATACTTTAAGTTCACTCATAGATCATATTCAAATTACTGCATATAAGTGAATTATTACGCAATTAGAATATGTGAATAACACTTACAATGTAATTTATTTGATCAACTTATTTTTTTTGGTTATTCCATAGGTAACTAGTGCACCGAAAAAGTCTGAACTATTAAGCCATCTACCTACGGATTATCAAAAGGTATAAATTAATATTAAAATTTGAATAGATTATTTCAGCTACTTTAATGTATAATGTGTAACATTGAATGTTTGATTAGACATAATACAATTTACAGCTAACAATAACATTGTATGGAGCCAATCAGTTAATGTTTGTACGGTGAAAACATTACAATCACTTTAGTACAGCTCTTGAGCCCTACATTTGAAAGAATTAATTAGGAGAATTATTATTTTGCAAGATTTCTGAATATTGCTGAAAGATTTACAAATTTCATTGCCCTCTATATCTACGGTCTAAATAGATCGACTGAATCACTAGTAGTAATCGATGATCAATCAATAAAAAGTTAGGAATTACTAAGTTGATCAATTATTTGTCCTCATTGAGTTCTACCGATCAAGTTGCAAAGTTACCGCTAGTCTTGTAGTGAAGGAGAACATAGGTGAAGACAACCGATTATATTTAACAAAAATTACAGAGTTAATTGATAAAAACAAAAAAACTATACTCCTATACTTCATTTGCAAAATGTTCATTAATTGTCTCAAACTTCATTGTTCCTGCATTTCCATACCAATTGCTTTCTATTCCCATTCTTACCTTCTCGATCTTCTCAGCCTGCTGTTGCCAGATATTCCATCCCTGACTAGAGTTATATACTACTTATGTTGACATAAGTAGCACACATCACAGTCTAAATGGCTCAACATCACATACACCAAACTTTAGAGCTAGATTATTTGAGACAACATCAATAGAAGATAATAAGGATAAAACATGGTTTAAAGTATAGACTCTATGTTGAATCAATCTTTTCATCATTACTCTTACTCTTACAATATCTTTATAACATACCTAAACAGACTTACTAATTTGCTCACTACTTATCCCAGCGATCAGTTATTATAAACATAATTGTACTTTAGTATAGAGTTGTGGAGATTATTAAGTTTTTGATTGAGGGAGTTCTCGGAGTTCTGGTGAGAAGCCGTAACTAGTGGAGCTAATCCATGTCGAGTAGAGACAGGTACAATGGAAGATGGTCGCGCGATTTCGTGAATTGGTTGATATTAGACATTAAAACCGTTAGATGCCGACTCAGTGGCCTAGATGTTAGGCGTTCGTGCGCAAGACTGAATGCCTTGGGTTGGAATCCCGCGAGAGGGATCGTGGATGCTCACTGCTGAGAAGTCCCGCAACAGGACAAAACAGCCATTCACTGCTTTCAGGTTTTCACTAATGATCTAACATCAGTCAGTTCATGATCTCAATTATAGTATTTTGATACATTACAAATCCAATCAAATCTTTTAAATACCATAATTTCTTTATTCTGTATATTCTATTCATTCATTTTACTTATTAGTTACGTGAAGCATTTATTGAACAAAGAAGAGAAATTCAACGTCTTCGTAAACAAATAGCAGAAAAAGATTTACAAATTGCCCAGTTAGAAGGTGATATACGATTATATGAACCATGGCGTTAAATGACAATTTAAAAAAATAAGGTTTTAATTATTGGTAGAATGAAAAAAAAAATGAAAAAGGAAAAGGAAAAAGAAAAACGAAAACAAACAAACCACCATTTTCTTTTACATTACGATTCTTCTTGTTGGTATTAATCAAAATGAGCCTCTTTTTTTCCGAAATGTTCGGATTATTCTATGCAACATTATTTAATATCATTTAGGCATTCAATACTACTACTACTAACACTACTGATAATAATATTATAGTAACTAACAGTGATGTATGTGTGCGATGCATTTCTACTCAACATGTTTATTATTATTAACTTTATACCCTGTCTACAAATTATCTTTACACATTATTATTATTATGATTTGAAGTGAACTGGATAGAAATAAAGTAGTATCTTTCTTTTTATATGGTATGTTGTCTAATTGTAATATGCAATCTTCTTATTTATGTTAATATCAATTAGTTAATCTTGTTATTATACGTTGTACGTATATACTGTGCATACTTTCATTTCTTTTCCAAACATGATTGTTGTTCCTTTTTGTTTGTTTGTTAATCTTTATTTCTCTCTGTTTAACCGTCTCCCTCTCTCTCTGTGTCTCTCTCTTATTATTGGTGTCATTAGAAATATGTTATAATCAGAAAGGAAAAGTAAATAGACAACTATGATTTGGATTTATTAATTGATGTTTGTATTAATTATGTGGGTTTTTGATTGAGATCATGAACCGATTGATGTTAGACCACCACCTTTCGAAACCTGGAAGCACTGGACGGCCGTTTCGTCCTGTTGTGGGACTCCTCATCAGCGCGCATCCACGCATCCCGGGATTCGAACCCAGAGCCTTCGATTTTGCGTCCCAATGCTTAACTTACTGGACCACTGAGCCGGCATCTAATGGTGATAGTGTCTAACATCAACCAATCCACGAAATTGCGCGACCACCTTCTATTGTACTGAGACAGATAACTGTCTCTACCCGACAAGGATTAGCTCCACTGGTCACGGCTTCTAACTAGAACTCCGAGAATTCCCTCAGGAAGCTAGTCACTAGTGAGCACATGTTGATTACTAGTATAGGGGTTGTGGAGATTATTATGTGGTTTTTATTATTATTAATGATGATGATTGTAAAGTCTGAAGGTTTTAAGTGTAATTGGATAACTATCTCGTTCCACTATGATTTTTCTTAATGTTCTAAAATTATCGTGTATAATGAAGGCTTTTAGCTGAGTATAGTGTGGCTCATGATTATGCCGAGAAATGGAGAGAGACATGAGAAAAATGAACAAAAAATAGGATAGAATTAGAAAGGAAGGCCCCGGACAGAGTGTGTTGGAGAATGCTAGTCGGCGGCCTATGCTGCACTCGGAGTAATAGGCGTAAGTAAGTAAGTAAGTGAGTAAGCAAGTAAGTAAGTAAGTGTAGCTCATGAGTTCACAGTTCTGAAAAGTAATTTAGATAAAGCCAGAACAATAATTAATTCAGAATAATATGAATTCATGGTATGTTTCGTGGTTATTCACCTGCAACTTACAATCATATATGTATTGAAAGACATGCTATAATGTAAAACAATTAAGATTGATGACGAAAAGAATTAGAATGACAAAAGTTATCAATAATAACTATGTGTATGTATATATATTAGTTGAAGGTTATTTGGAGATGGAGTTCAAAAACACAGCGGGACAGGAGATGCAATAATTAAATGAGGTCAAGAGACAGATAAGATAATTTTAGACGTTGTAAAGCGTTCATATAACATTACTAGGATTAGAAATTGATAAAATGGGTTACATAATAACTGAACAGGATTTGAAAATTTTACATAAGTTAAGGGATTTAAGTAAATTGAAACTTTTGAGTGAAAGGATGGTTTTAGTGAACATGGAATAAGAATTAGTTTAGCGAAGACAATATAATAAAATAATGATAACGACTAGAATAATTTACCAAGGTAGGAATAAGTCCATTTAATACTGACTCCTTCCGGATACATAAACAAGTTTTGAGTATTTTTATTACTATGGTTTCAGCAAACTGAAGAGACTCTGTATTTTCTTGTCTGCTAATACTTTTGAAGGCTTGTGGAATGTCAGTGGTATGCCTGGTGTCAACTAAATATCGGGCTATTACACTGTTTAGAGCCGTCGCGCCTCTCAGTCTTAAGTTATTAGAGACGTGCTCGGGAATTGGGACATATACTATTCTTTCTAGTCTTTGAATGTATGTGATTTATCACGTACATGAAGTCTCCAAGTAAGACCGAACATATGACCAGTGTTCCATAATTGTAGATGACTGTACACTTGATCCCATTTCATGATAAATATATATCCTTGATCACGGGAATCATCAATGAATTACATTTGTACTACTGAAAGAGCAGTCTAATGAGGCCAAAAAATAAAAAGATGTGAGCTGCTGATGAGTTTCATTCTAGGACGAAACAGGCATCATGTGCTTTCAGGTTTTTCATGGTGGTTTAGCCTTAATTGACTCATGAATTCAACTATTAAATTACTATAATATTCATGATGTTTGTCCAATCCGCTTCCAACGTCTCCTGATTACCTCAGATGGAAGTTGGTTTGTTCTCTCGCACAGTAGGCTGTTGCTGATGGTATCCGACTAATGGACATTGAATATCTCGCGCAGACAACTATTTATAAATACTTGTACTATTTTGATGATGGTTGTGGTAGTTCTGGGAGTTTCATCTCCATACAATAGAACTGACTGTTTTGACGTTCGTGTTGAAGATTCTGACTTTGATATTGGTTGATAGTTGTTTTATATTCCATATTTTCTTCAATTGTAGGAATGCAGACCTAAAGATATGGCCTTTTGAAAATAAATCTTTGGTTTTAACCACTTTCAAACATGAATGTGAACAAATGACAGCGTGATTATTACAGTTCATTGCTATCAAAATAGTAATTTTCAAATAAACTACTAGGGACAGGTTTAAAGAAAGGAAAATGTGGTTAGAATTTTTTCACTAACACGATGAAGGGAGTAAATAATAAATCTTTATCACAGTTACTTTAATGTTATTCAATGAATTTCATTTAGATGGGTTAAGAACATATAAACAGTATATCGGATAGCATTACAGTTACCAATGATAGAGGATCTGTTAGCGACAATTAAATGACTTTTATAGGCTTCGTTGTAAATAAGCACCTCATAAAATATTTTAAGAGACAACAGTTTCAAGGAAATACATATTCTGTTATTAAAGCGGTACAGTTTAATATTATCTTAGTTATTTTATTAACAGGGTAATTAAAAACTCAGTCAGAATAAAAATTGAAAATACCCACCAAGTATTCGGTTTAAAAACTCACTTATCCAGTCGTGTGCAAATTCAACCTCAATATAAGGTGACTAATTTCATTTGCCTGAAATGCATAACTGTGTCACATTCGACATGATCAGACTCCACAGGTCATATATTCTTACCAGAACTCTTGGGATTTTATTTCTGATGAGGAGTCTCATACTAAAACGAAACATCTGTCCAGTGTTTCCTGGCTTTCAGCACTTATCTAACCTTTTTCACATTTAATACTTCAGGTTTCGGATTATCCAGATTTGCAAGAGTTCAATTTAAAAAGAATCAAAAAATGAGTTATTTAATGACATGATACAGTTGGCAAAACTATCATTTATGGACGAACTAATCAGGTATAAGATAACAGATCTTAAATTTTGACTTGGAATTCATTCATCCACTTTGTTAACTAGTGTTTTGGCATTATATCTGATGTCAATTCATGATGAAAACCCTTAATCTAATTCCTAACCTTAACTATCAATTGTAAATCATAATTCAAATTTCTTACACTAATTTATAACCCTCATTTTATTCTAGTTATTAGGTGAACACTCTCAAGGTCACTTTAGCATCGCTCAATGAACGTTCATAAATTATAGTTTCACCTATCATTTCTTTTTTATATTAATCATCCAATCTCATCAAGTGTATCAATGTTAAAAATCGATAAAAAAATTATTCACTCCAGTACTATAACAACAACGATTTCATCATAGATATTAATGTCAACATTAGACTTGATAGTTCCAAATAAATTAAGCATTGGGTAAAAAATTGATTTTTTGTTAGATCCTAATAATATGAAGACGAATTTGCCGAATTGTACTTCCTATATAACTGGCTCCACAGGAGCAGTTGAATCGATAAATACACATGGATTTGGCGAATTCAGGTAATCTGTCTTTATTGACCGTTCTTATTGTGGGGCAATTGTAGAAGACAGCATTTAATCTGGTTGCATTAAATGTTTTTTGTACCGCTTTTCTTAGTCTCTGCGTCACAATTTCTTCAGTAGTGTCATTTATGAATTATAATTTTATGAACAATACTTTCTTAAGAATGGTAGGCATCTTTGTCCTTCTTTTCATCTCCTTCATGTGTTTGTCGATGAATTTCATTGGGTACCCATTCTTACTAAGTAAGTTACGAATATTAACCAATTCATCTACTATAGTGTCATTCGAACAAATCATTCTAGCACGATGAGTCGGGATATTTATCAAGTTCCTTTTGTATCTGATTGATACAGCACTTTAGAAATGAATGTATTGTCCTGTTGCAAACTTTCTGTGTAACCCTCTTTTTAAAGCCAGTTATATAGGGCATACAATTCAGCAAGTTCATCATCGTATAACAGAGCACCATCCGTCGTGGTTGAGCAAAGGACAGGTAAGAGTGATTAAGAGTTTTATTCTTGCTTACTTGGTTAACACAGGTCATCAAGTTGAACTGAATAAAGCTTTTAAGGTTATCTGCCATATTTCACCGAATTTGCCACATGGCCTTTTGCATGTTGCTGAAGCCATCGCAATCCATGTTCAAAAACCTAACCTTTGCATCCAAAACAAATTTATATCCTAATAAGTAGAAAAATTATATTTCTGGCGTTTCGTCACTTAATTTCAGCCACTTCTTCAGAGTAAATAAATAACTGGGAAACGAAGTTAATTATTAACTATTTCATTAGATTAAAATAACATTCCTATTGAATACAAAATGTCTCTTTTAACCTAAATTGTAAAGTTCATGCTTTACTATAGTTTAATATGTACATTTCAGTTTTCTGTTTGCATTTTCTTTATTGAGTTCAAATCCTTCGTATACATCAATATTAGAAGGTATTTTCACCGAACAAAAAACAACAACAATGAACAATTCTACGGATTTCAAATTACTAGTGTTATGTTACTTTGTTTTGTATTTAGATGTTACATTTCAGGTCATACAAAACACTACGACTATTACTACTACTACTACTACTACTACTACTACTAATAATAATAATAATAATAATAATAAAGAACTAGATTTACAAAATGAAATGAATCAATTCAATACCATAACATTTCCTTAAATAACTTGTAAAATATATTTACCAATAGGGTAAGAGTGCAACTTATATTGCTGAATAGGATAGATCTAAATGTTTACAAGGAAAAGATATAAATAACACAAACAGCTATAGTTGAAAATAGCTAAAGAAATAATCGTTAAAAAAATTCAATAAAATGGAAGATATTTGAAGAATTAACTGTATAGATTTAACAAGAAACATTAATAATATGTACATAAAAACGATATCCAGAAAAATGGAAAAGATCAAGTGGGATGATGACTCA